AGAAAAGCCATTGATTTTAGATGGAGATGAGGGAAAGTGGTTAGATCCCAAAGGGAGATTTTCCTTGGAATTTCCCACTGCAGTTACTACCTAGGGTTTTTCTTACAGGTCATCGATGAAATACTGTGCAAAATTTTTTTGTCCTTGCTTTTCAGAAGTGAACACAGGCTAACCGTGATAGCTAGAGACTTCTGCTTGGGAGATAGTGAGACAAAGTAAACTATGTCCATTTTTATTGCTCTGTTTTAGGACCTGGAACCCACCTTCTGAACACCTGTACCACCCTTACCTAAATTTTATTTCATCTTCAATTTCAAAGAAACTAATGCATATTTGTCTTATTTTAATTAGTATTTAATAATATCACTCTTTTCTGACATACTTAAACATAGACCCATTTCTTCTAGGAGTTCTTTGAGCAGAAATATTGGAGGCCAGAAGAGCTCAGGCATTTGCTCATTTGTTGGGTTATCTTGGTCAAGCCAGTTTATTTCTCTGAGCCTAGTTTCCTCATAAACAAAATGAGGATATTGATAAAAATCTTCAGACCCTCAGACAGTTAGGAGGAATAAGTGTGAAAGTACATTGTAATCTACAAAGTGTTATATCAATGTCAAATACAGTTGCCTGTCATTACCAAACTTTCCAAGACAAAATCTGTGTCTGGAACATCTTCCTCATTCATAGAGGGTGTTTCCATGTGAACAGAACAAAGGAAAGTAAGCATAAACCCAGCTCTCAAAGCAGTGAGTATGTATTCCATCTGCTAGTAATAGCATTTACACTAAAACAGAATAATTCACAAAATTATACCAGAACATAAAAGGCAATACAGACACAGTTGAAAGAAATAGTTTCTAGTGAATGTATTAGTAATCCAGGCATTTTTTTTTTTTTTTTTTGCGGTACGCGGGCCTCTCACTGCTGTGGCCTCTCCCGTTGCAGAGCACAGGCTCCCGGAGGCGCAGGCTCAGCGGCCATGGCTCACGGGCCCAGCCGCTCCGTGGCATGTGGAATCTTCCCGGACCGGGGCACGGACCCGTGTCCCCTGCATCGGCAGGCGGACTTTCAACCACTGAGCCACCAGGGAAGCCCAGTCCAGGCATTTTTATGTGGCAGGAAGCTTGCTCAGTTTTCATAGCAATTTATTTTCAGAAAGTTTGGGGATGTGGGTAAAAACATGACAAAACAGGAATGACTTCTTCACTCATCTTCTAGTTTGTATAGAGTTAATTCGTCCCTCTGCTAAGAACGCTTACCAGTTCTGCCCTAGGAGTTTTAACCTTCCTTTGAGTTTGGTTTTGTATGTTAACTACTTTAAGGTTTCCTGATACAGCTCTGCCAAGTCACTCCCACTCCTTACACCTACCCCCAGTTCATAACAAGCACAACTGCTCCACTTTTATGCCTTCAAGGAATTTTCTATAGGTCTTTATAACCTTTATTAAATTTTATATTATGTTTATTTACCTTTCTGTCAACTCCACCTTCTTGATGGCTTGTAAATGACTTATTCCTCCTAATAATAGAATTCAGCAAATGTTTGTTGAATAACTGTGTTTACTAGGTGTGTACTATGCCATTTGTTTATTTAGAGGGATCCACAGATGAATGAGAATCATCTTTCTCTTCAAGGAAAATAGGTAGGAGATATATAAATCCTACTTCCCATTCCTGAGACTTGCTTGGCTTAATATAAACTAATCCACTGTATATATGTACATATCTGGATTTTTAAAATCACTAAAGCTCTGTTCTTTTCATGGGAAAGGGAGAGGTTTCTAGTTTTTATTTGAATGTCTGAAAAATTTTACAAGTCTCTGTGATGCTGTCATTAACGACAGAGCTTAATTCTATTCACAACATTGTTTTCCTCCTGTCTATGGAACGCTGTTCTTTGACTTTATTGACCAGTATTTCTTCATTTTTTCTATTAATGGGCATCTCCTGAAGTCCTACTTTATGCTACATCCAGCACTAACTGTGTGGAAGTTGTAGAGATTGCAGGGCTGGATGGGAATGGAGAATGATGGGGTTGGCTTAATGGCAAGAAGATAACCTGAGATTAGGGTGAATGAAAGTGAACATAGGACGGAAAAAGTTTGAGAAGTGGCAGGATAAAAGCCCAGGGTCCAGTAGTTCGTCTTAAATGTGCCTGCCTGGAAATGTAGTGAGATGAGTTTATGCTGTTTATTCTCAGTACTGTTCATAGCCGTGTGCTTCAAAGTAGAGTGGATTAGAGGAGGAGCAAAGCTCCTGGCTTTGAACTTGTCCTGGCTGAGAATTGTTTTCTGTAATTCCCAAACTGGTTACTGATTTGCAAGGTGGCTGGATGTGTGACTCTCCCCGCTTGCATTAGATTAGCATTGCAAAGAATACAGAGGCTGACTTTGAAAGCAACTAGAGTGGATGCATAGGAAATTATGGATTAAGTAAGTAATATTTCCGCATAAATGAGATGATATATTTGGAAGTTTTTAGTAAACCTTGAAGGGCTAAATCTGTGTATTGACAATACAACCCTGTGCATGTATGAGTGTGTGTACATCTTTGTAGTCATGGAAGATCTTCTAGGTTCTTTTCTAGTGCAGGCCTTACCTGCACTTTGTGGGTACCAATTCAGCCTCTACTGTAATAAGATTCAGGGTCAAATCACAATAACTAAATATACTTCAGCCTTGCTTTTCAGATATTAAGAAATAAGAAGAGTCATTATTAAGGCAATCATAAATTCATAAATTCCTTGGTTATTATGATATGTCAAATGCGTCATCATGTTTATGGTTTATATGTGCTGCTGATGAAATAAAAATGTGAATTTTAAAAGTTTTATATTTAGCTGTAGAATTTCAGTGCAGTATATGTAAAACATTATAAAAAGCACAGAAAATATAGAAACCCAGGAACCTATCACCTAAATTTAATAGATGTTAATATTCTGCCTCACTTCCTTCAGTCTTCTCTAGTTTGTTTGTAAAGCAGTGGAACAGCATATATATAGTCAAGGCACACCTGCCCCTTTGCTTGTGTCTCTAGGGGTCACTATGTCAGTGCCAGATATTAAGAACATATATTTTTACTACAGGTATATGTATCCATAAACATTATATTTTTAATGTCATGCTGACTGAAGTAAAAACCATGAAAATATTGCAGTTATTCACATGGTTATCCACATGGAAAACTGTAGTAATTTTATAATTTTTATTTTATTCAGCATAATATTAAAAGCATATAAAATATATTGTTTTGGCATACCTTTCTGCTCTAATAACATAAATTGAAGTGACTTTTAAACTTTTTAAAATATTCATTCTGAATATTTGTTTTCTGTGAACTAAATCCATACCTGTCTTAGACATTTAATTAATTAATGTTAATCAGCTAAGTGTTTTAGAGAATGCATGTCAGTCAGCATAGAATATCTTCTTTCAGTCTGTTCCCACTGTGGTTTCCCAGAGTCCAGGAGGGCTGGTTGTCATGAGCAGAAAGAGCTCTTGCTTGCTGAGAAACTGACTCCCAGCCCTGCCACCGACAAACTATGTATACAGCCTTCATAAGCCCTTTCTTCATTCTGGCCCTTATTTTCCTCACCTGTTAAATAAGAGGTTTAACCAGCTCTTCTTGAAAGCACTTTCATTCTGTGAAATATTGGGAAACTTTGACCTGGGCCTTAAGTTGTTAGAATTTGCTGAGAATATATTGGATGTAAAAGAACAGGACTTTCTATTGAAATTGCCGGTTTTGTAGTTGCATTTGAGCCAGGGCTAAGTAGGTCATATTCGGTTTAATATGATTTGGGGGCAGAAATGATTTTTCCATCATAAAACCTTTTCAGAGTAATCTTGACGTCTCCAAGCTCTCCCTGCTCTTTTGTTGCATTATCTCTCAGCGAGGGACAGGGCTGTGTGAATTTGTATGTGAACATACATAAGTGCTAAGAATGGCAAAGGAATGTTTTTTCATTCTGTTTTAATTAAATGTCTTCACAGACAAAGTCAGAGCTGCAGAAAGAAATCTGTGAACTCTGGTAAGCCCTAGAGGACAGTTTCATGAGTCCTACACTTTGCAATAGTCTGAGGCTTTGGGAACTTTCCTCTTTAGTGTGAGGTACATGTTTGGAATAGAGTAAGGATATATCACCTAAACTACACGTCCTTAAAACAAACAAAACAGCATTTTTCATGATATGAGTCCTCCATATGTATGTTTGTTTTAAGAAGCAGAAGTTTAAATTACAGTTTGGGGTGGATTGGACCTTTAAGACCATCTCTTCTTATTTGTGTCTAAGAAAGTAGTTCAGGAAACGCTCTTGCCTGGCTCTCCAGATGGAGGCAAAGTTAGGGGCAGATGCCTGGTACCCTCCAAGGTTCCCACTGTCTTTTGGTTTGCAGGCTCTCTTTAGGCAGCTCTATATTTAGAGAGACCTAGAGAACCAGTTCTAACTCGTGTCTGAGGGTGTGGACCCATTGAAGAATGTGACTACACTTAAAGTAGAGATCTGCTCCTGCCTAAGGGACTAATAAAGGTGCGTTTTTCCTTAAGAGCACCAGGATACACATAAGTCTCTGGGAAAGGATCCTCTGAATCCCAGATGGCTTAACTCCTCTGACCATGCAAAAACTCAGATTTTTCTCAGCTGCAATATGTGAAACATTCTTGTCTCTTATTATTACAGCAGTCCTTGCCCTCTCTTTATAGAAGTGGGTTAGAATTTCTGGGCCTCTGCGTTCTGATTCTGTGATTAATTTCCATAGGCCAGGGACCTAACCATTATTTTGTGACACCTTGTTCTTGGCCCTGAGCAGGCACTATGTGGATTTTTGTGAATGAAGACTTTATACTAACTAGTCACTGTTTTGTGCATTGCGAGTTATAAAGTTGATCATCCTAAAATATTAGGTTGGAGTCTTTGAAGTCCTGAACAAGATCTTTTTCTTTTTATGTTAAAGTACTACTAATGAGCCTTCCTGTCTGCCCTTCTCCCTCATCCTCTGCAGTGTGCCGAGATTTTGCTGTCCTGGAGGACCACACCCTGGCCCACAGCCTGCAGGAACAAGAGAGTGAGTAATAGCCCTATGCGTGCTCCTTCAGTTTTCTTTTTTAGTGGTAGCTTGAGGCAGATTTCTCAGAGTGAGGCAGGGAGAAAACAGAATCATCGGGCTGTATCACCCATCCATCCTGAGGGATCTGTCTAGGCAAATGACACCTCAGTGAAGAATGAAGTTCTGGGTGTTTTGAAGTCATATAGCTGGTAGGGATGAGAAGACTCTTGGCTGTATCAGAGGAAAAGAGGGACTTGAACCATTTCCTTTGCCTTAGTGCTATAGGAGGGAGATAGTGGTTATACATGCATCGGGGGTATGTAGAAGGCTGGCAGAGGTATGGGTTCCTTCCCCTAGAATAGGAGGCCTGAACATCTTTTCCCAGGCGAGGGCGGTGTCTAGATTGTAGATTTTTCTGAATTTTTTATGTATGTACTCATGAATAGTAAATCTAAGTTATATGTGTTATACAGAAGTACGTAAGTATGAATTTGTAATTTGTGAATCATTAATTCGTGTGTCACTATAAAAATTCAGTATTGAAATAGTATTTTATAAATAAGGTGGCAACTTGTAGAGCAGAAAGAACACTGGCCCTGGTTTTAGATTATTTGAGTAGAAGTCCTGGCACTGCCACTATTTTATCTTGTGCCCAATACAAATTACTTTAACCTTTCTGATTCTCTTTTTCTGCAATGCAAAGATGAAAATAATAACTCCTGTGCTGTGTATTTAGAGCATAAGATGAAATGATGGATGTGAAGCCCTTTTTAATGGAAAGGCTCTTCTTAAGTTTATTCTCAGGTTTATCATTAATAAGCCAAAGCATTATAACTCCTCTCTCCAATTTTACTCTCCAGTTGAGCATCATTTGGCGTCGAATGTTCAGCGGAACCGTTTGGTCCAGCATGATCTCCAGGTGGCTAAGCAGCTTCAAGAGGAAGATCTGAAAGCTCAGGCTCAGCTGCAGAAGCGCTACAAAGACCTGTGAGGACTTGGGGACTGGGAGGGCATCATGCCCGGACTGGTTTTCTCTGTGGGGTCAGCAACCAGGGCAGGGAAGAGGACTCTCCATCTGTTCCTCTGATTCCTTTCACTATTAGATTACAAATCCTACAGTGACTATCCCATAGTTTTCTTTGAATTAAAAAAATTGTCTTTGTTGTTGGAATACATTACTAGGTTTTGGGACATGTGGTTTCTGGTGTGGACTCAACACTCTTCACTGATGACTTTGAGTCATTTGGTCCACCTCTGTGACTCAGTTTTCCTTACCTGTACAGGGGGCAAATGATCTCTGTCCCCTCTGCCTCCTGGGCTTTTGGGGGGAATCCAGTGAAATACTGGATATCAAAGAACTTTATGAGGTCTGTTGGGTTCCTTTATTGTTTCCTAGCAGTGTTTGCTACTCTTATTTTCCTAGAACCCCTGGCTTTTCTTTTTGTGTGGCTGCGCCACACAGCTTGCAGGGTCTTAGTTCCCTGACCAGGGATCAAACCTGTACCCCAGCAGTAAAAGCACCATGTCCTAACCACTGGACCGCAGGGAAGTCCCAAACCCCTTGCTTTTTAAGTAGAGGCAGAATCTTTTGGAAAACTCTGAATCGTACCCTTAGTTCTCTTCATAACTTCAGTGTCTGACCAGAGTTATTTGTCTGTCTCCTCCTAAATGGAGAGATCATGTCTAAGGTCTCTTCCAGCACAATGACTTTTTATTCTTTTTAATGTTTTAAAGGCTCACAGAGTACATTTCTTCTTTGAGAGAGGCTCCTATACCTAAATCTCTAATGGTGGATTTAACCACAAAATTGTTTTGAGGAGGAAGGGGTAAAGGAGGAAGTGAAGGGACCCTTCTATTTACTTTAGTTGTCATGTTTAAATAAACAGGATAGCCTATTATTTTTGCTGCCTTTGAGGAAGGGTTTTTCTATTTTATTATTTTCAGAGAGGACTTTATTCGTGATTTTATTCAGCTTCCTTATTTTGTACATAAACATTCTTACTGACTCTTGCTAATAACTCTGCCACCGTGAAAGGCACCAGAGAGCACAGATATGAATAAAACATAGCCATTGCCTTTAAGGAACTCAGAGGAAAAAAACTCTGAGCGTTTGCCAAAGCAACACACAAATTTGTGAAACATTCCATATTTTTAAAACTAGATTAATAAACACTTTTTGGTAAGTTTAAAAAAAAAAGTAAGTGAAAAGAGGGTATGGAAATAAAAAATGAGTAGATTTTTATTTTCAATTCTGGGGTTTGAATGGTTCAGAATCCTTGAATGTTAGACCTGTAATATGAAGTCATTAAGTCCAAAAACTTTTATAGCTGATAAGACGACATAAGAGTGCATGATTCACTGGTTCACAGTGGCAGGACTGGAAATCAGGTCTCCAGGCATCTTGTCCAGTGATTTTTCTACTGATTCTAAAACAGCTTGCCATTTCTGCTTCTGACCTGTGTTCTCTGTCTTGTATTCCCTTCCTCCCTTTCTGTCCTGTATGTGCGTTATACACATACATACATACCCCCATGTGCGCACACATCTACTTTCACCTACACCTATTTCCCAACATGTTGAAAGTGACCAGTTCTTTATACAAATGAGAATAGTCTTCATCCCCTCAGTTTTGTTAGAATAGAATGTATGGATTTCGATTCCTTCAGAGAAGTTAGGATATTGCCCCCAACACCCAACACTTTTCAGTTATAAAAGACTGCCATTAAACATGGAATATACAACCAAGACTAGCTTAACTGAGTACTTTAAGTTCAACTGGAAGGGGGAGAATAAGAGGAAATATTTGTGTAGCAAACGAACTGCATATATAAACCACAATTGTAATTTTATTCCAGCATCTTTTTAGATAGTGAACTCTAAACGTGCCTGTATCTCTCTCCTAGTTAGCAGTTAAAGGTTGTGAAGGCTGTGTAAAGGTTGGCTCCCCAGCACTATCACACTCTAGAGTTATAAGCTTGCCCAGTGACTTTTCTTGAAATCTGCAGCCAGAAGACTTGTGTACCTGTAGCCATCTCTGAGATCCAAACCCCATTTTCTGTTGGAACCACTGTTTCATAGGTGCTGTTTTAAAGGATCTATTTCTCCCACCAAAATGATTTGTCTTGTTTCTCCCACCAAAATGTACTATGGGCTTCTGAGTGCAGGATGGAGATTTATTTATTTTCATATCCTCAGTGTTGAGCATGGTGCCTGGATGATAGCAGGTGTTGTTTGAATCTTTTTGAATGCACAAATGCCAAAACAAAACAAAACTGTGGTAGCAGCAGTATTACAAGATTTGGGTTTTTTAGTGGCCAGAGTATTAAGAAAACTGGCATCAGCCACAGAGGTTTCTCCTGGGACCTAAAGCTAGGGAATATACACTGGGGTTTTCCCTCCCCTTTTTAAAAGTTTTACTGAAACTGAAAAAAAATGCCTCTAATTAAAAAATTTATAAAAATCACTTTAAAGTCTATACCACCACCTCTAGGTGGCCACAGTATTATTGACATTTTAGTGAACTCACTCCCAGTTTTTTTCTGCATACTCTGTACGTATTTGGTTATTTGTGGACCTTATTCTCATAGTGTACATCTCCTTTGAGGGAACATGCCTGTCTCTGTAAAGCGACCCCAGTAGGGTGAGGTGATATGGTAGTATAGAAAAAGCCTGGAGCTTTCCGTTGTAGTGTCTGGGTATCACATTCTGATTCTACCACTTATTTTCTCTGCAATCTTAGGGAAATGATTCCACTGCTCTGGGCCCTCAAGTTTTTTCATCTGTAGGATATGACAATATCAACCTCTTTGCATCATTATTGTGAAGATTAAGTGAGATAAAAATATGCACTGGCTCATAGTGAGTGTTCAGGAAATTGTGTTTAGGAAAAATCATTCCTTATGTTCTTTATTCATGTTGTTTTCACCTTTGTGTTTTAGTGAACAACAAGACTGTGAAATTGCTCAGGAGATTCAGGAGAAACTGGCTATTGAGGCCGAGAGACGACGCATTCAGGAGAAGAAAGATGAGGTACAACTTAGTTGATCCCCGTCCGCCCCGCAGAGCGGGGCTGCTCAGCTCCAGAGCTGTGACTTTCTGTATTCACGGGCTCAGTGTAGGGTTGCTGGATGGGCAGAAGAACTCTCCCCTTTTGGGGTGCATAGTCCAAGTGTCACCCTCCATGAACCACTGTTTATTGCCCTTTGACCGGTTGTTTAAGTAGTGAAATCTTAAAAGATGATAATGGATAATTCGACATAAATTGTGAATTCGTTTCCGTAGGGCTACTGTAACAAATTACCACAAACGTGGCTTAAAACAGTAGAACTTGGGCTTCCCTGGTGGCGCAGTGGTTGAGAGTCCGCCTGCCGATGCAGGGGACACGGGTTCGTGCCCGGTCTGGGAAGATCCCACATGCCGCAGAGCGGCTGGGCCCGTGAGCCACGGCCGCTGAGCCTGCGCGTCCGGAGCCTGTGCTCCGCAGCGGGAGAGGCCACGACAGTGAGAGGCCCGCGTACCGCCAAAAAAACAAAACAAAACAAAACAAAACAAAAAACAACAATAGAACTTTATGTCTCACAGTTCCGAAGGCTGCAAATCTAAATGAAGATGTTCGCAGGGCCATGCTACCTATTAGGAAAGATCCTTCTTTGCCTCCTCCTAGCTTCTGGTGGCTCTTGGCTGTCTGGCATTCCTTGGCTTGTAGTTGCATCATGTCAGTCTCTACCTTTATTGTCACATGGCCTTCTTCCCTGTATCTTTTTGTCCTTTTGTTTTCTTATAAGGACACCAGTCATTGGATTGAGGACCCACCCTAATCCAGTGTGATCTCCTCTTAATTATATCTGCAAAGATCCTATTTCCGAATAAGACCACGTTCTGAAGTTCTTGGTATAAATGAATTTTTGTCTGCGGGTTATTCCCACAACTTTAGGGAGAGCAGACCTTGAGTGTAGCCTGAACAGGAGTTCATTGCTCTCATTCTTTTTCGTTAATGGTCACTCTCCTGTGATACGCTGCCTCAAAACAATGATCTGTTTGACTCTGTATATATTTTTAAACTGTGTTGTTTTTAAAGCTGAAAATGGCTAAAATTAGCAGTAGTATATGGTTTGTGAGAAGACTTGAATTTGCGCTTAATGATCACTCGCTTTTGTGTTATGTTTTCAGCATTTCAAATGGTTCCTTTTCAATTTGCATTGATTCTCTGTCTGCTTTTTTTACACCTATTGTGCTGTTCTTGGCCATTGTCTTGATTTATAATAAGGAAAAAATGATTTATTATTTTTAATAGTAGGATGACCATATGGTATTTTGCACACTCAGAAATACTTTTCAGGGTTAAAGGGGGTGCTATTAATAAGTACATAAACTGGGACTCTCCTGGGCAAACTGGCACATACGATCACCCTATTAAATAGATATAATCAGGGTTATCAGTGAACCAGCCTGCATCTTCTGTTCCTCCACTGAGCCATCCTTGTTCCTCTGGAACTCCTTGTTCAGTGCCAGGTGAGTGTGAGATGCCTGGTGTGAGTGTATTTAGCTATTTCTTTAAGAAACAAACCATGATTATGTGATGATCAGAGTTGTAAGTAGGAATTAAGGATTCCTTTTCATCCTTCCTGTTAGCAACACAGGAGCTCTTTCTTACTACAGGATGTGTTGCATCTCTATAGTCAAGACTGCCTTGGAGATGAAACTGGCAACTGAAAGAAGTGATTATGCTTTGTAGACAGAAAAGCTTCTATTTTAAATATCACAGAGTAATGAAGTTGGCTTCTTATAAATGCTACTGGTGTCCTGTAATTCCCCCACCCCCACCCCATTCGGGGAAAAACAGTATTCGGGAAACCAAAATACTTTATTTTACGCATGTGGAATCTAAATAGCAATCACAATAATCTCATTGTTACACTATATAAAGTGTGTAGTGTAGTGAATAACTGCATTTTTCAGATGAAGAAATTAAGTCTTGAAGAAGTAAATGACTGGTCCCAAGCTACAATAAGATGCCAGAGAAATGTCTGTACAGTTCAGTCTCCTGACTGACTGCCTCTGACCTGGATGTACTGTGACACAACATAGAACACAGAGTCTTTGGAGTTAGACTACCCTGGGTTTGAATCTTATCCATTTAACTTTTAGCTGAGACTTTCAGCATCTCACTTAACCATGTAGAACCTCAGGTTCCAAATTGAAGAACTCCATGGTAACTCCACACTTACCCCAAAGGGCTGTTGTGAAGTTTAAATGAAATTAAGTATATAAAGTCTCTGCCACATAGTAAATTAATAGTTGCTCTTTCCTTTTTGCTTTCTTGCCAGGTGTCTTCCCCACCATTCTGCCCCTTACAACAACTCTGATTTCTCTTATAGGGAGATAAGCGTGAAATTAGAAAGGGGAAACAATACGCAGGCTTAGGTGTGTTCTAGTGTGGTCTGATCTGAGGGATCTTCAGGAGTTTATGCTTTGCTGCCCTCCTACTACACTGCCTTCCACTATTGTTTGACCTACTGAAATGTTCCCCTTTTCCCAGTGCAGTGCAGTGAGAGATGAGAAATCCAGTTGTGGGCGTTTAGTGAGACTAGCCTTTAAAAAACTGCTTTCAGACTTTTTTGACTTTTCACTGATGCCTTAGATTAGATGGCTGTCCCGCCAAGATGTTCTTCTGTTGTAGAGAAATGTGACTCCCAGCTGACTAGTATGTTGTAATAGTAAATAAACAAAATCTGCATTAGTAAAGTTTGATGTTGAAGGATGTATGATAATCCTTATTTATTTTAGTCCAGGGTGCCTAATAGGGGAGACTAAGACAATTGTGCTAATTTTTCTGGCCAACTTTGCATTGCCTGTTACTCATCAGCTGTCCGAATTCTGCCCCCCTCCTCACCGCCCCCATGCTCTTCTGCTTCCTTGTAGAGTCTGCTTAGCTAATGAGTTCTTACTGAACGGCAGGGCTGTGGAAAATTCCTCTCTGGATTTTCACCCAAATCTCTTTTAGAGATTTTTGGGGTCAACTCTCTTGGGTAGTTCCTAGTCCCCCAAAACAGATGTAGAATCCAAGGCCCCTTTCCTCTTGGGACAGATTTTTTTTCTGAACAACATTGTTCCTGAGTAGAGTTATACGACTTTGTGTGGTTGAATTAGCATGTCTAGCTTTGTTATGGTATAATTTTATTGTGTTTTTTAACAGAGCACAGTTGTAAGGAAGGTAGCATTTCCATTGGGGAGACAGATGTAGAAAAATTTAAAAAAGATCCTTTGTGGGCTTCCCTGGTGGTGCAGTGGTTGGGAGTCCGCCTGCCGATGCAGGGGACGCGGGTTCGTGCCCCGGTCCGGGAAGATCCCACATGCCGCGGCCAGGTATTTTGCTCCAGATTCCAAGATCTTAACCAGTATACCATATTTACCTCGTTTTCCTGACCAAAAAAATGTTATTTCTTTCTTTCCCTCTTCCTTCCTTCCTTCCTTCCTCTCATTGCCCTGTTGAAGGGGCTTGTAGCCTTTGGTAATACTGGACTGTATGAGTTTGTGATTAATATGGGGGGATTAATTTTATTGGGCTCTTTCTCTTTGGTCACAGCTTTAGCATTTGTCATTGTTGTTTAATGAAGCCAAGAAACGTGTGTTTAGTTGATTTAACTCAGTTATTCTTAAATAAAACTCTTAACTACTTGTGTGTGAATGTATACATATGTGTGTCTTTGAACCTAGGTCCAAATATATGTGAATGTGAAACTATTTTAGCGAAAAACTTTTTGTGTGTGTGTGTGTAAATAAACAGTAGCATGGCCAACCATGTTATGAAAAGTCTGTGGCACTAGTCCAACAATTTGGAGCCATTTATAATGTGAACTGTTCAGGGAAAAACTTAGTAACCAATTTACATTAAAAATTAATCTAGTGTGAGCCATGGTACTTTTTCATAGCATTCTTAAGGTCATTAGTAATTTGTGTTCTAAAAAAATATTTATATAAGTTGGTAATATCTAGAGAATAGCTCAGATAATAGTAATTTTAGCAACTGAAATTTTTTCCTGTGTTTTGGCACTTTAGAAATAGGTTTATACATATATAGCCAGACAGGGGGAGTGAGTGGGTTTCTTCTGGTTGAGAAAATTCTCTCTTTTTATCTTAGTTATACTGATGTTTTTATAGCAAGGGAATTGGTGTTACCCTCTTTTTCTGGTCTTATAGAGTAACCCTCTTGGGATTATTCCTGCTTTGAGTTCCCTACTGAGTTAGATGTTAATATATTAATTGCTAGTTAATAAAAGAAATTTAGCAATCTAATGAAATGGCTTCCTTCTTTTTGTTCTTCTGACAGTCATTTGACAATCACATTTTCAGATCTCCTTTAGCTTTTCTTTATACCCAAGATTTTCTCATTTTGAATCCCAGTACTATTGTGTGATAGAGGTGAAAACTTTAAGGGGGAAGTAACCCTGATATAAAATCATATAAACCATAAAAATACCCTAAGGAATCCAGCACCACAGTTCAGTAATTTGTCTTCTACTTGAGAAAGATGCATGGGGTTCCTCTGGGTTCCACTGCACCTTGATTGTATGAATGCTTCTCTTAGAGCACTCATCTTTGCGTGTCTTACATTAGGTTAATCACTTTTCTTCTAGCACTTAATAGATAAGAACATTAACAATATTGACCGTATATCTTGTTTTCCTATAGGAGGTCTCTAGCAGAATGTTTGACCCATTGAAGGGAATCAGTAAATCTATTTTTTTTCTTAAAATAACTTTCCTCTAGCGTTCCAGGGATCCTTACCTGTGCCCTTACTTATGCTCACAGCTTCCAGTTTTCCAGAGTTGAGTGTTGTTTCAATAAGTGTATTTACTAGAAAGTCTTGTATGCAACAGAGGTGTTTCTACATATTAACCCAAAGTAAGTCTACCTGATTAATTAAAAAATAATTGAATGTGACTTCAAAAGGGCTTATGAGTTCTTTTAGATTTTTTTTCCCCAAGTTATGTTTTATTGAACACTAGTTTCATAAGGTTTATATTTTTTTTATGTAACAAAAAGGCATCTGTCACAAAATAAATTTGGAAATTCCTGGGTTACAGGAAGATAACAGGTTACTTTTCTTTTATCAAAGTGTTAAAATGAGCTAATGTGTTTAAAGAGTTAGATATAATACATGTTTTCTATTGAATGCTTTCTGGTTTATTTGGAGAAACTTTTGATACCAGTGTTCTCAGAAACAGAGCTTGAGAAATGCTGTTCTAGACTAACCTTTAACAGGAAGGAAACTGAAGACTAAGGAGGTTGTTTATGTCAAGGGTGACTAAGCTGCATCCAAGCATTGTGACTAATAATTGCCATCTTTAGCTTGTTTCAGGGGAAATTTTTTATATTGAAATCACCTAACTAAACCCATTGTGCAGTAATGTTGGAGAGCAGGGAAGAAAACTGACTTGGGCTAAACCACGGTTTATAATATAGCAGCAATTTTCCTTTCACTCCTCAAGTCTAGCTAGCTGTTCTTCTCAGACAGAGGAAGCTTACTCAGAAAAGAGCTGAGAGGTTAAAAGAGCAAAAGGTTTGGGTGCTAAGGGGCATGACACATTATGATTATTATTATTCTACTTGGTTAAAAGCCCTCCTTTTGACTAGCTAATACATTGTACAAAAGAGGCATCACCTTTGTTTCTCTTTGGTTCAACTTTGGCTCTTCACATTGAGAAGGCTTATTACTATGTATTAATTAGGACTAAATTCAATAGCAGCAAAGCAATTATAAAGTCCCTGGAGTACAGTTTAATAATTTCTACTGGCAGTTGGACCTGGTAATTTTCCTTTATATTTTTATTCAGTTATATCAAGGGAAACTTTTTGTTTTCAGTAAAACAAACCACTTAGGAAAATGAGTGTTGGGTGCTGAGTAAACATGACAACTCAGGGAAGTGTTTACATTTTCTTCCTACTTGTGCAGTAAAATAAATAGGGATTTGGGAAATTCTGTAACAGGTATTACTTTGGGGAGAATAAATTATCTTGTCACACCTCTCTCTTTTCCTAACTGACTGATATATTGCTTTGCAAGACATCAAATAGAATGAACCTGGCACAGGGGATGGCACCTGGTAACACTCCCAGATTTATTACAGTGGTGCATTAGGGTGTCAAGACATTTGACTTTAAGGTTGAGTAGTTCAGACTCTATTTTACAGATAAAGAATTCAGGCCCAAAGAAATCCATTTTCGTAGTTAATGTTTCTCTCCCCGTGTCTCTAACGCATCTCTGACTTGAACTGGAAGAGAAAAAGGAAGTCATCATATTCTTTAGGTTTAGGGGATATTTTTCCATCAGAGTATTAGAAATTCAGATTTCTTTGCATGAAAATTATACTCGTGTTTTAAGTGGAATTGTGTTCTTTACCTTTCATTCTGAGCTGCAGTATTTTGTGAGTGCTTTTACATGGATTACTTATCAAATATATATGTGTATGTTTTACAGACGTATGAGAAGTTTCCAGCATAGAAATCAGTTAAAGGATATATGTTAATAGTATATTTATAAGTTTGAATTTAGGCATGTACTTAACATAAAGTCAGATTTGTAAGGCTATTTTTTGAACATTAAAAGCCAAGTATATGGATAACGTTTGCTAATTTACCTAGCCTCAGTATCCAACTTACTGCTACACTGATATAAGAGAAATTGAGTCATTCAGATGAATTTTATTTGCCTTGCAGTCTTAGTATATTCTTCACATTGACTTATTCAGAAAATTGCAAAAAGAAGAATAGTGATTAAGTCTTGCCTCAAAATATGCACCATTTACATCTGAGCACATCTTATATTCCTCATTGTAAATATAAAGAAGTTAGCCCCTCAAACTACCTATGGCTCTTATTACCATTTGCATCAGTGAGTATTGTTGCCATATTTGTAAGATCTTTAAGAATCTGATGATGGCTAGGGATCTTTTTTCCAACAAAGTGTACATGAATAAAGTTAATGTGCTATTTTATTGGGCCTTTCATAGAAATAATCTTCAAATTCAGAACACTGTCACTTTCTAGCTCAAAACCTTTAGGAACCCTTCATCCCTTACATTACAGATGCCAGACTTCTTAAGATTGTCTGTAAGGGGCGCCTGTGATCCAGCTTCTGCCTGGTTTTTTAGCCTCGCCTTTTTCGGTCACACCCCACATCCAGTGTTCTCATTGGACTATTGGTTGTTCCCTAGATTGATGCCCATTAAAATATTTATAACTTTGCTGATGCTGTTCTCTGTTCTTCCCTTACCTGTTGGAATCCAGTTCTTTGTTCAAAACCTAACATTAATGCAAAGGCTTGAACTAATCCGTTTGAGTAGAAATAATATTCCCTCTTTTGTGCTCCCATAGACATTTTACCCTCTTTTTTGAGACATTTATAATTTCGTTGTATTGCAGTTATTTGTATATACCTTTGTTTTCATGGGGGACGGTAATCGTTTAGGGGACGCAGTCAGAATGTTATTACTCATCACTCAGTAACTGCTAAAAACTTGCCTGGAGACAGAGCAGAGGGGAGACAGGAGGAAGACTGTTTTCTCTTTTTTATTGATAGTTAATACGGCGGTCCTCTAATGCAAAGCTAAATCAGAATCAACTGAAAAATTTTTTTTAAAGTTTTCAAATTACATTGTAAATACAGTTTATAAAAGTTTATAGATTATGGTACTCTTCCTCATTCAGACTTAGTGAATCATCATCTTGGAAAAAGGGCCCATAAATATGTATTTTAAAAATTCTGTTCTATAACCACCTTTAGGAACATTACATTTGAACGTCTTCAAGTTAATTTAGATTTAAATTCAATTAAAAAACCTTTCCCTCTCATCTGGATCCTGTGCCCTTCCTGTTGAGCAGTCATCTGTGGCATCTGGACACAATGAGCTTAATATCAGGAAGTCTAGAGAGCCTAGCTGGAGGCAGAGCCACAAAAGCCTGGCAGTGGAATGTCAAACCATTGACCTGTAGGGTCACTGTATGGAGTTTGTTCATTCTCTGGTAATGTTTATTTCCCTTCTCTTTGTATTTGCAGGACATAGCTCGACTCTTGCAAGAAAAAGAGTTACAGGAAGAGAAAAAGCGAAAAAAACACTTTTCAGAGTCCCCTGGAGCCAATGCTTATGGTGATAGTTACTATTATGAAGATGGAGGTAAGTTTTTGCATCATGACCTACTCTATCCTTAGACTCAGTTGCAAGACACCCCTTTAAATTTGTCTGTAAAGTGACCCTAGGGCCCCTTTAGATTTGTGGTGGAATTTTATCTTATCTAATAAATTCATCTGTTCTTTAGTTGGATGACCAGAGCCATTTTTATGGCTGTTAAAACTTGAATATAGTTTAGCAAAATTTGGCATGCATTCTTTTGCACTATTGCTACTTGGAATGTTGTATTACATTCTAAGCACATAAACTGGGGTGTGGAAAAGTGGCATATGAGTCTCTGGGCTTGATCTTTCTCAAGGAAATCTGGACAGTACTGTTTGAAGCAGCAAAGCGGCACAAATAATAAAGGAGGTACAGCATTTATCAGTTACTGGATACCAAAGCTTTTTTTCCATGCTTCTTATCTTTTAAACCTAGGCCAATGGGTTAACCTGCTGATGACAGAATTGAATTTTAAGATTCTCTGTTTATTTTTTGCTTTTGATGCTTTCTTTGCTATTTGATTACCATATAGAAAAATTTCTGAGATAGAGAGATCCCTTCTCTAGTGCTTGCTTTTGCAATGTGGTGGTGGTGGTGATGGTGTGGTGGTGGCACTTGTGGTGGTGGTGATTCTTTATCTTAAAAGTGTGTTGGGAAACGAGTATTGACAAATATTGTTCAGTCCTTTTTAAAGATCTGTCAAAGGAAAGACATTTCCTATAGTTTTTAGTGTCAGTATTTATTGTAGTTCAGCTTGGAGACTATACTTAGGATACCAGCTAAATAAAATCTAAAAGCAGCTTCTAGAGAGTAAAGATTTTAAGGTCAGTAATCCCCAAGTCCCTTGAAAATTAATTGTCAATTGCTTTTCTATAATTTCATTGTAAAAGGTAAGTAGGTGTTTGCTTTGATGAGTAGAATGAAAGATACATATATGTAGTTGATAGGATTATTATAGTTTGAGTCTTGCAGTCACAGTGTTCTAAATCTATCCTAATCAGTAGAGCTCAGCTCTATAACACAATCAGTAAGCAGGTTGATTCTCTACTTATTGCTTGGCGTGTTGTTCTTCCATATGTAAAATGCTCAGCTCTTTGTTGATAGCCATTTTCCTTATGCTGGTTTTTCTAATCAAATGTGGTACATCATTTAAAAAGAAAAATTATTGCCGTATTTTTCTGTACTAGAGGTCAGAAGGTAAAGAGTTACTCGTCAGCTTTAATTAAAATCTTAGAAATGTGGTCTGGCATAAAACATTAGGGTGGTAAGTAAATTAAGTACACTAAAGTACTAATTTTAGCATTCCTCTATTAAAACCTTATACTAACTTGAATTGGGACTCAAGCCTGGTGGTTTTGACCAGAGTGCTGACATACTGTTTCATCTCTCTAGACTATGTTAAGAATTCCGTGGATTTTCAGGGACACCTAAAATTTTTACAAATCTCTATTTAACTGCTTTTGTAAAGTTATGGAGAATGGCACATATGCTACTTTTTTGGAGTTGGGGGGGATTGGTAAGAGAAAACAATGACCTTCTGAGCATATGCCTGTAAAGTACTGTTGGAATTTCTCTTCAGTTGTGTTGTTGTTGGGAGACGATATATCGCTGAACACGTGATCTTCATTTATGTGCCTTTGAGTTAGACTAAGTTGAGTTCCACAGAAACCATATTGCAGTCCAGCTCATATTTACAAGGCAGCCTTATGTTCTTTGCAGTGGTCCTTTCCCAACACATAAGGGATATTCTTAAATTGTCCTTCTTTGCGTGCAATATGATTTTTGTCTGTCATATAATAATCACAGCAAATCATTTCAGAAGTGGTTGTTTTAGCTTTCATTTTACTTAAACTTTAATAAATTAATCTTTTAAGAATAATTTATAGATTTTCTACAAATCTGAAATTATCCAAAACATCTGTCAGATTTATAATGATTGAAATGGTATATCTTATTCATTTATGAATCCATGTTTTTTTTTCAAAGCCACTTACCTGTATTGCAAGCATATTAGAGACTTAAAGTCATGGTTTTTGGAGTCATTAGACCTTGATTCATGTTTCATCCATTCCTTAGAAAAAATTGTAATGTTAAGGAAGTTATCTACTGGAATCACTCTAAGCCTTTTTCTCATCTCTAAAATGGAGATTCTAAAAATAAATCCTTCACATGGATGTTGAGAAGATTAAACAACGTAATATTTCTGAAGACTTATAAACTCTAAAGTACTATTATTTATACATATATTAATGTAATGTGTGTACTACATGGTATTTTGTCTATTTAAACAAAAATCATTTTATTTTGAAAGACAAACATGGAAGCACACAAATGTTTGCACATATATATGCAAACATATGTGTGGGTGTATATATATGTATGTATTGGCTATAAGGAAGTTAATTATATTTGCCAAATAACTTGGTCTCAAGAAACATAAAAGTTTCAATCCTTAACTGAACTGGGTTTTAAAGGATTCAAACAGATTCCTCCACCCCTGTCTTCTTTTTTTTTTTTTTCTTTCCCAGGTTTAAAGATATCACAAGTGATCACAATAAATATTTTTTCCTGTCAGCTCTGTGAAAACATAGTGACAGCTCTGTTCTAATTCTTGCAACACACTTCCCTAAAGTAAAACTACTAATATTTGTTAACTTTTTAGAAAGAAGTAAAAATAAGAAACAAAACAGTCATAACTTGACAAATCCATGTTGAAAACAAAATCTTTCTTGTCTCTTTTGGGCTTAAAGGCAGGCTTCACTCCTGCAGTTTTCTGTGGGAACATAGGTATTAACACTAAACCATTGTCTCCTAGTTGGGGTCATCATTTATGTAGCTGGTCAGTATTATGTTAATTCACAGCAGTAGTGAAGTGATTCTTTCTCAGCTGTCAAGATACTCCTAAAATAACAGTTTGGCTAAAAGAGTAGATACTTTATTTTATTACAGAGAGTAATTGTTCTGTTTCACTTCTGCTTAGGTAAAAAATGAGTTTTCCCATAAATTATGAAGATAAATACCTCTACAGACTTTTTAGAAGACAGATTTTAATTTAGATGTCATCTCTGAGGCAGATGTTCTTTTCTTCTGGAAAGCTCAAGAGGAAACAATTTGGAGTTTTTAGTGGAAGCTTATGGCATAAGAGATACATTTAACACATCTCCCCACCTCTGTTCCTTCATTAGATAGCAATAACACACTTTAACAAAAACAAAAAACCCAAAACAAGCAAACAAAACCCGTAAAAGCTAAGGAAATTTATGGTCGTTTATTTTTTCTACATCCCACCCAATTACGGTAGCTGTTTCAAAAGCAGTTCAGCGAGTGACTAATTCCAATAGGGAATCTTGGCTATCTTAGCAATTTTCCACGGAATTAGGATTTCTTTTTGTTACTTCCCAATTAAAGTAAAAGTCTTAGAAAATGTTAAAATAAATATGCTCTTGCAGTGTGCATTGTTAATTTACTTCCTTTGTTTTCACAGTTTGCTTGTTCTTAAATGAGACCTGACAAAAAAGCACCCATCTGTGTGCTGTTTCTGCAGTTTGTGTTAAACTTAGGGACTTGTATATTTAGCACATATTGTATTTTTATACCCAGAAAACAATATCATAAAGTTTTTTGAAATGTATTTAGGAAGTGACTCCTTTTTATGTATTCTGTTATGGCATCTCTTTTTAATTTTCTTCCTCTGAAGAATTTCAAGTAAGATTAGGAACAGAGTTATCCAAAGATAATACGGTCATTTACTCACTTAAAATTCTCCTTTACTCCCTCTTCTTCCACACTGAACTGTAACATGGCTGGGATTGTTGGCTTTGGCCACCAATGGGGAAAGAACAGAGGAATACGAAAATCTGTGGCTCATCACTCTAGTGGACTAAGTAGAAATTAGCAATATTCTGACATAGATTTATTGTTATTTCCAATAAGAATTTTTGAAAGTCTCTGACTGGAATCACAAAGCTTAGTTCTTTTTCTGTTTTATAAGACTCCCTCAACTCTCACTTTTCCCCCGTATACTAGTTCCAAATTGGTTTTATAAATAGAATTAAACATTTAATGACTAGAATTTTTGTTATTGGCAAATATTAAAGTATGTGTTAACTCTTTGCTAATCATGATCAGGCTCTTCTTTCAGATTTACTTTTTTTCACTTATTTTAGTTTTTTACCTTTCTGGCTATGTACCCAGAATCCTTCATGTATGCACGGACCATTCCAGCAAATGCTCATCCCTTCGTTTCAGTTTGTTAAATTGAAAAAGTAATCTTCTTCATTTTAAAATATGTTAAACTTGGGCCCTGTCTCTGTCCTGTAGTGAGTTCATACTCATGAAGTTAACTTGCATTTCTATTTTTCACATTCCTCCACCTCCGCTCAGACCAGCCACGGTCAAGGAGGGCAAGGGAGTTGGGTTCTGGATTCTCAAAGTCTTATAGACTCCAAAGTGAGGAAAAGACTGTGAAGCAGAGAAAGGAGAAATCGAAACATCCACAGGAGAGCTTGGAAGAACTGGAAGAGCATTGTTCATCAGAGAAACCTCTTTCGTCCTCTAGCTTGGGGAAAGTGAGGGATGATCCCCAAATTAACACTGAGCAGCCTGAAAGGAAACGATCTGGTCATGAGCGGCTCCGAAGACCTCCTCTCCCCAAGATCAGTGGTGAGGTGTTTCTGAGCACTGAATCGGAAGACTGGGAGGCTAACCATAGCCATCGAACTCGGAATTGGGAAAAACAGTCCAGGCACCAAGACCAACTTTCTCCCAAGGCCTCGCAGAAAGCGGGGCTTCACTGCAAGGAAGATGTATATAGAAGCAACCATGGGCAAGGTGAGCACAGAGAGAGGAAGCACAGGCCCAGGGCTCCTCCCTTCTCAGAGAGTGAGGCGTGGCACCAACTCCATGATGCAGGTAATAAAGGGCAGCCTCGTTGGAAGTTCTGGTATCATGTTTATACATACAAACAAATGTATTTAATAAGCATCGTAAACAACCTGTCCTTT